CTCGCCAGACAGAGAGAGACAGAGAGACAGAAAGCGAGAAATCACCCCCCGGGGGGATTGTCACGCCGCAATCCCTTCTCCTCCATTCTCCTCTCGGGATCTTGGGCACACACGCACACGTGCCCAACATGAGTTTTAAGCCACCGGGTCTGGGACGCGAACCACGGTCAACTACGTGGGAGTCCAGTGACATAGCCATTACGCTAACTGCTGATTCCCAGAGCATCTTTGATCTTAAAGCTAGCATTTAGTTCCCATTAGCATGATTGTCCAGCAGTTAGACAGGTCACTTTCATTTGGCTTAAGTTCCTCCTGTGTCAGATTTTTAAAGAAGAATGGATTTTTTTTGAGGGTGAAGGTGGCTATTTCCATCATAGCCAAATTTCTGGTTGAGTCCTGGACCTAGCAGCTTGAAAAAACAAACGTGGGATACGTGTTTTTCTTCTGAGAGGAGAGAGGAAGAACAGGGATTGCAGTGTGGCCATCCCCCTGGGGGGTGATTTCTCACTTTCACTGTCTCTGTTGGTCTCCACTGAGCGCGAGAGCCCTAGGACACACACTTAAAAAAAAAGAAAGAAACTGGATTTTTTTTAAAACATTTTAACATTTACCCTGAAACAGGGAAAGGAGAAGGGAATTCCCCCAAAACCACAATAACAGCTATAGTGCGGTGGATCGAAACTTTCTAATTTAGTTTTCTTCAGCTTTAGTAAAAATATTTTTCTGAGTAGAATGTCCTGTTTTGGTGGCTTGACGTAGTGTACTTAATTTAATTAGCTAATGGGTTAACTACCTTTTATGCTATGTGAGTGCGTGCATGAAAGGGAAAGGAAGAGAGCACCCCTTCCATCCTGGCCCTTCCACATCCATCTTCCTCCAGGTCTCCGTCCTGTCAGGACTCTGGGTGCACCAGCGGTCCCAGGACTCCAGTGAACCCCAGCTGGCCCTCTGGGCTCCAGCTTCCTCTGCACAGCACCTACCCACACTGTGGGGCCCACCACCCCTGGCTTCCATTTTAAACTCTACTTTCTAGCATTCAACTTTTTTTTAAAGACTTACTTTTATTTAACTTTATTTAAATTTGACCAGAGAGAGAGAGAGAAAGTGAGAAAGTGAGAAAGCAAGCCACCAGGCTTGGGACTCGAATTTCGGTCAGTCATGTGGGAGTCCAGCGCCCTTAACCACCACGCCCCCTGCTGGCCCCTCTAGCACTCATCTTACATGAAAGCCTAAGTTTCTGAACTGCGAGGGGTTCTAGGAGACACTGAAAATGAGCAGTCTTTGGGCTGGTTCCATGGCCTGACGGTTGAGAGAACGAGATCCCTCATGGCCATCCCTGTGGTTCCAGTCCTGGCCCTGGCAGTTGGAAAACCACTCCAGGCACACGTGTGAGCCCCCAGTCTCAACAGGATGGAGAAACGCAGGGAAAGGGATTCAGGCATGACAATGCCCCTTTAGGGGGTGCTTTCTCACTCTCCCTCTCTGTCTCTCTCTGGAAATCACATGTACCCACTGGTCCAAGAAAAAAAGAATATGAACAATTCTTTTTTTAAAAAAATTGTATTTATTCATTTATTTAAATTTGATGAGAGAGAGAAAGTGAAAAAGCAAGCAGGTCCAGGGCTTGAACCATGATCGGCCACGTGGGAGTGCCCAGCACCTTAACCACCATGCCACCTGCTGTTCCTGAGACTATGAGCAACTCCTATTTAAGGAATTAAGGCTGCAACAATTTCAGCCACACATGTTACGTCAAATCGGATTTTTTAAAGAATTCTTTTATTCAAATGTATTTATTATTTATTTCAATTTTTTAGAATTATTTATTCAATTTTATTTATTCATTCATTCATTTTAATTTGACCAGAGAGAGAGAGAGAGAGAAAGCAAGCCACCAGGTCAGGGACTTGAACCATGGTAGGCCATGTGGAGGTATCCAGTCCCTTAACCACCACGCCACCTGCTGGTCCCCTATTTATTTCAATTTGACAAGAGAGTGTGCAAGTGAGAAAGCAAGCCGTCAGGTCTGGGTCTTGAACCGCGGTCAGCCATGTGGAAGTCCAGCGTGCCACCTGCCGGCCCTAGATCTGAATTTTTTAAAGACAATTTACGGAGTTTGTTTTCTCCTTGTGTAGGCGCCAAGCTATGGTGATGAGACAAAGTGCTCAGCCGTGGCTGTGGGGGCCATACCCACGTCACCCAGCGAATGCATTTTGCTCCGAGAATTGCATTCCCTGCAGCAGGCACTTGCACCCATGCGCGGCTGTAATGGAAAACATTTGAGTCTGGTTGCAAAGATTTGCTCAGTGTGAAATCTGTTCCGAACACAATGGTCAGATTGAAAGGAGTTTCATTACACGGCCGGGCATTTTTTTTTTCTTTCTTTGGGGAATATAAAAGGTGAATGCAATACTTTCCCGTTTAAAGTTACCACAAAACTTCATCATCTTAACCTCAAAATCGACTCCTAAATTTACACAGAGAACCAGAGCCCTGGAGCTGGCTGGAGCTGCCCGTTTGATCTTGGTTAAGTTCCAGAAAGTCAGGGAGAGTTCAAAACGGGGCCAGGGGCGACTGCACACTTTAATCCAGCCTCTTCCTTTTCAGTCCCTCTTCGCCCTCTCCCCATCTGTTGGTATGAACGACAGAATATATCCATTTCAATAACCCTAGACACCGTATATTCTAGAACAATAAGGAAAGCATCTTTTCTTATTGTTACTGACAGGCCCTTTGGTCAGAAAGTGTCCCTCCACAGATGTTAGAGAATGCGATCAGAAACCAGAAAGATATGTTACAACGTTCAGGCTGTTTTATTTCTAGCTCTCTAAAGTCCACCGGAGAAGACTTACCCCTTTTTTTTTCCCCCTTTAGTACCTCCTCTTGAGGCTTTAGGAAGTAGGGAAAATGGTTATGGCTTAAGATAAGTTGCCAACTTCGCTTTCACGTTAGTCACTGCTTCCTCATCTTCCTGAAAAGAAATGAAGAAAGAACAATTATGAAACAATACCAATAATAAAGCAGGAGTAGGGGCAGTGATGACAGTGGTGTGGCGTGTTGCTCCCAAGTCACCTAGAGCCCGCGCGAGTCCTTTACGTGCTGAAATAAACATTCTGGATGCTACCCCTGCCCCGTCCCCGTAATTCTGAGTTTTGGCAGCAATAGGAGTGCATTTCTGTTTGTATTTTCGGTGCAAATCATTTGGGGGAGGGGGGGAGGTTATTTTATTTAACTGTATTTATTGTTTTCCAGTTTGAGCAGAGACAGAGAAAGAGCACAAGAAAGTGAGAAAGCAAGTCACCAGGTCCGGGACTCGAACCACAGCTGGTTATGTGGGAGTCCAGGGCCTTTAACCACCTTGCCACCTGCTGGCCCCTTCACTGCCATCTTCTGAACACTGCGTAAGTAATATAATAATTAGAGCGGGGATGTCGGGTAACATGAATGCAAGGGGAAATCTGAGTGTTGAGGCAGGTGGTATATTCCAAGGGGGATGTGTACATGTGTGTATGTGTGTATGTGTGTGTCATCCCCTGCACTCCCTTACACTGTGACAATGACTCCTCACTGGAGAACATATGTTCCCTACCTTCAAATGAAGGGATTTCTCTGTAACTGCCCCAACAAAGAGTATGCCATGGAAACAAGGCTGGTCACAAAAGGCAGGGAGTTTCTTAGTTCCCAAGATGCACACCTTTAAAAACGGCACCTTGTAGGGGGACTAGCAGTTGGTATAATGGCTATGTCACTGGACTCGCATGTAGCTGGCAATGGTTGGAGTCCCGGATCTGGTGGCTTAAACTCATGCTGGGCACTTGTGCACGCATACCCAAGATCCCGAGAGGAGAATGGAGAAGGGATTGTGGTGTGGCCATCCTGGTGGGGGGTGGGGTTAGCTCTCGCTTTCTGTTTCTCTGGTGAGCACATGCTATTTATATATGTGGTTGTTGGAAAAGTCCTGATGCATTTTTCATTAAAAAATATATACATCATGTCTTTTCTGACAACACAATACGTATAGCTATTGGACAATGCCAAGGGGTCTCATTTCAAGAAAGCTTATTCTTGGGGCCGGCAGGTGGCATGGTGGTTAAGGGCACTGGACTCCCACATGGCCGACCACAGTTCGAGTCCCAGACCTGACTGCTTGCTTTCTCCTTTTCCCTTTCTCTCACTCTCACTCTGTTCTTCTCTGGTCAAATTAAAATAAATGAATAAAGTTTAATAAAATAGATTTTTTTAAAAAAAGGAAAGAGACTTGTTCTGTTTTGATCTGAGCATTATTTATTCTCTACCTGTAATTCAGACTGTCATAGCCTTACCAACATTGAGGGTTTTCAACTTTTTTTGGAGTCACTTTGATATGGGTGTATTGGTATTTCATTGTGATTTTAATTTATATTCAGCTAATGGCGTTACATAGTTTCATGTGTTTGACATTTGCACATTTTCCTTGGTGAAATATCTCATATCTTTTGCATATTTTTTTTGCTTTGTTTATGGTAGAGTTTTGAGAGTTTTAATATATTCTGGATATATGACTTGCAAATATTTTCTCCATTTTCTAGTTCTTTTTACCCTTTTATTAGGGTCTTTTGCAGACCAGTTTTGAAATTTAATGAAGTCTAATTTATTGGAGGGGTGGACCAAAAGCAGCCATTCCGTATGTGCAGGCTCAGAACTTACTAGGTGGCGAGAACACAGAGCAGATGGCTTTCTGTCTCTCCGTCTCCTTCTGTCTGGACCTAGCATCCACTTCCCCCAGACTTGAGTTTGAACCCTGACTTTACCCCCGTGGCTAGTTGGCTTTGACAGTTTATTTGCCCACCCCGCACCCTTTCTCCCCCACTATGGCAGCGTCAGCTTCCTAGGGTGGCTGTAAGGGTTTCGGGAGGCAACAGCTCACAGCAGACACTGAATGAACTATCACTTTCCCTCTGTCACATAAAAAAAATAAAAGAAAAAAGAAAGTCCATTTAAGAGAAAGATTTTTGCTATAGGGCATGTGCGCTCACCAGAGAGACAGAAAGCAAGAAATTACCCCTGGGGTGATGGCCACGCCACAATCCCTTCTCCTAAATTCTCTTTTCAGGATCTTGAGCGCACATGCACACACACACACACATGCCCACTGTGAATTTTAAGTCCGGGACTTGAACCGTGGTTGACTACATGGGAGTCCAGCGATGTAACCGTCATGCCATCTGCTAGTCCCTAGATGGACCTCTGATAAGAAAATTAAGTGATGCTTATTAATTGCCTTCTCTGTGACAACCACGGAGCTGAGTGTTTCACGCATTATTTTAATCCCTTCAGCAACCGTCACATGGGGTGAACGAGCAGGCTGAGCAGGGCCCTCACGTGCCACCTACAAACTGTGAAGGGACAGTAGGGAGTCATTAGCTTCTTCTGGGGAAAGAGATGGGAAGGATTTCAGTGGGGGTAGAAGACAACCGTCAGAGCAGGCGGGCCCGGAGGTGAGTGGCCTCGCACTAATTACGATCACACGGGCGAGTGGTGGCACAGTGTAATGCCACTGGACTCACACGGGTTCGCAGCCCAGGGCCTCTAAATGCCAGGTGCGTGTACACGTGCCTGGTGACCTGGCTTGCTCAGTCAGGGGTTCGCCATGTGAGAGGCACTCTGGGGGATGCCTCTCTCCTCTCTCTCTTCCTCTCATGGCAGAGATAAATAAACTTTGAAACCAACCTACGGAGTTGTTAAATCACATGCCTGAGGTCTCCAGCCAGTAAAGGTGAGGATCAGGACTCAAACCTGAGCGTGCCCGATCCAAAGCCTACACGCCCAGGAACGCGGAATGGAGCTGGCCTGCCTTTATGAATGTTTGGCTTTATTAAGAATGAGTCACTTGGGGGGGCCAGCAGGTGGTGAGGTGGTTAAGGCACTGGACACTCCCACATGGTTGACCCCTGTTTGAGTCCCGGACCTGGTGGCTTCCTTTCTCACTTCCCCTTTCTGTCTCTCTCTGGTTAAAATTAAATGAATGAATAAATAAAATTAAACAAACAATTCTTTTAAAAAAAAGAATTAGTCACTTGGGACCAGCAGGTGGCATGGTGGTAAAGGTGCTAGACTCCCCCATGGCCAACCACGGTCTGAATCCCAGATCTGGAGGCTTTCTCTCTGTCTTTCTCTGGTCAAATTAAATAATAATAAAGAACATTCAATTTTTTTTTTTTTTTTTATTTGTAACTCAACCGCAGTTTGAGTCCTGGACCTGACAGCTTGCTTTCTCACTCTCACCCTCTCTCACACACAGGCCCTATAGAAAATTTAAAAAATAATAACAAAATTAAATAAAGAATTTTTAAAGAATTTTTAAATTTAACTTTATTCATTTATTTCATGTAATTTGACCAGAGAGGGACAGAGAGAAAGTGAGAAAGCAAGCTGCCAGGTTCAGGATTCGAATCACAGTCAGCCATGTGAGAGTCTAGTGCCCTTAACCACCACGCCTCCTGCCAGCCCCAAATTAAATAAAAAATTGCTAAAATAGAAAAAAAGAATGCGTCGCCCACAGCTTCACACATGACGGATTTGTATGCTAACATCTGACAGATCATAGGTCCTTTGGGGATCTGTGCAAACCACGCCTGATACATACGGTGCCTAATTCTTTGAGAAGGCCAGAGCATTCCATTTCAACTGCAGAGCCCTTGTTCAGAGAGCCGGGGACTGAGGGGTCCGTCCTGGGGTGGGGGGATGGCGGAGGTGAATTAAGTGCTTTCTAGGAATAAACTGTGTGTCCTTGAGAGATGAGTTAACCCTTTTGAGATGCCAGGCTAATATTTAGTGTAATTATCCCTTCCAAGGTACTAAAGGACACTCCGGATGGTCTCACCGAGTAAATTTATCTCTCAAAGGGGAGCCGTTTGCTAATGGTACTCCCAGCATCAACTCTTATGTAGCTTTTCTTTAAAAGGCCAGTTGTAAGCAAGAGCACTCCTTTTCTGCTTTAAAAAAAAAAAAATGAAAGAAAGAAAAGAAAGAAAGAAAATGTTAAAAAAATAAAATGGGAGAAGACCTCCAAGACTGTTTTTAATTTAAAAAAAGAAACACTAATCCTCATTTTTCCTATTTCTCCAACCTCTTGTCTGCGGAGGAGAGGAGTTATTTTGCAAATAACAGTAGACCTTCTCTAAGAATTTCAGAGCTGTGCAATTGTGAGCGGTGCTGCCTGCAAAGTTGGAAATCATTCAACAGCAATCTTCTTTTTACAGCGTTTTAAATGCAACTGCTAACCTGTCTCGATGTTTAACTTTCGGGTTTCAAAACCTGTCAGTTAAAACTTGCTTACTGTTACTCCTTTTCTCTGAAGCTAGAGCCTGAAGAGAAATTATGTAGCAAATTGGAAAGGAGGGACTGAGACTTGATAGGAACACAAAAGAGGGGCTGAGCGGCTGGGGTGCTAGACACCACGGTCCTGGCCCTGAAAGTGAATACGGATTAGGCTCATCTACTGCAGCCTCTAATGAGGTTGGGCCTTCTCCGTTCTGAACAAGCAGTCAATTGATCCCTTCGCAAAAACACCTGGTCTATTCCGAGAAAAAAATTAGTCAAACCTGTTGTTGACCGAGTTTATCAGTCAATTCCTTCCAATCACGTCAGTAACAGTAGGTAGACCTTGCTCATTAAAAATACCGTTCAGGGGAAATCCTAAGAAAGACCCTGGCGTAGTCATTACTGAACTAATTCGATTGGCCTGAAAGAGTTAAATCAACTCCTAAAAGGAAGCCATACACTTTCTGTTCCCCAGGAGGGTGAGGCAGGCTCTCAGGGAGTCTAATACAATGAGGCTGTTTTCCCTTTTTGGAGAGGTTTTGCTATAAGGCGCGTGGGCTCACCAGAATGACAGAGACAGAGAGACAGGAAGTGAGAAATCACCCCCCCCCCTCAGGGGGGATGGCCACACTGCAATCCCTTCTCCTCCATTCTCCTCTCTGGGTCTTGGGCATGCATGCACACGGGCCTAGTGTGAGTTTAAGCCACCGGGTCCAGGACTTGAACTGCGGTTGGAGTCCAGTGACATAGCCATTGTGCCAACTGCTGGTACTGAGGCAGTTTCTTACCAACCTCTCCTCCGCTCCCCTGAAGACCCCCTGACATTTGTTAAACCCAAGCCGAAGGTGCCCTGGCATGACTCGCTGTGGACCCCCTCTGGCCTGAAGCAGGCTGCAAATGCTGGTAAATCCAGGCACGCAAGGAGCAGGCACAGGGACGAATGCCCTGGCTGGGTTCTGGCTTCTGACACCTGCCTAGATTAGACGCAGTGTGGCCAGGGTCATCGAGCAACCAGGATGGCTTGGAGGCCTGGTCTACCGCGACCCGGCAGTGTCTTTGGCCACACCGGGTCAGAACGGGCTCTGGGCAGGCTCCAGTCGGGGCCCAGCGTAGAACGACACCCTAGCCCTCGTCTCCCTCCTGGACCACAAACGTCCGCACTGCAAGGGAGAAGAAAGCGAGAGGGGAAACGGCGGGATGACGGCACTTACGCCCTTCAAAATACGGTGTGTTTTCTCTTTGGAGTTTTTTTTTTTTTCTTAAAGAATTCATTTTACTTATTATTTTTCAGTTTGACTAGAAAGAAAGGGAAAATGACAAAGCAAGCCACCAGGTCCAGGACTGGAACCACAGCCCGCCACGTGGGAATTCGGCACCACAACCACCATACCTCCCACCTACCCCAGTTTATTCTTAGGTGTTTGTTTTCTTTACTCATGACAGAGCATGGGGGGGGAGCGAGGGGAACGGGGGAGTAGGGAGAGGGGAATTATAATTGTTATTATATTCGTTATTAATAACTCATTTATTATTTTAATTCTCTGGTGAATTAAATAAACAATTTTTTAAAATTATAAAAAGTGTCTAACATTGAGCAAAATACACATAATCACCCCGTGTGCATGTGCACACATGCACCCCATGTGATTTTCAAGCTGCCAGGCCTGGGACTTGAACCACAGTCAGCCATGTGGGAGTCTAACACCTTAACCACCTCGCAACCTGCTAACCCCATGGCCTAGTGATTAAAGGTGTTGAACCCATACATAAATATAAATAAAATAAAGTTAAAATAATTCTTTAAAAAAAAATCACGCTAAGAAAGAAAACATACCAAGCACATGTGTGTATGCTGAAATTCCCAGCAGGACAGACAGCTGGGGGAGATAGGACTGTGGTATGACCACGCCCCATTAGGGGATGTTTCCGCCCTCACGTGCTCGCTCACTCTCTGGCAAAGTACATGGAACCTTCTAGCAATTAAAAAGAAATTTGCATTATGTTTTCTTTTCTCCAATTTGAGTATTTTGCTAGGCAAACTATTTGGTGAAGATGCAGGTGCAGCCGTGTTTGGTCAGGATTTAAGGTCAACCGCACGGAGCCCAGATCTGGCTCCCACCAGAAACGGCTTCAACGAGACGGTAGCTTATTGCTCTCAGATACGGGCATGACCAATGGGCGGCTGGGGCTGCCCCAGTTTCCATTCTACCCCCCCCAGGTGTGGCCCTGCCCACACCCGCAAAGACAACTCACCACCAACTCTTGGTTTCAAGTCTCAGGGTGGAGGGAGGTGGAGAGAAGAGACACCCTAAGGACACATCATAGAGGCCTGCAGGTGGCGTGGTGGTGAAGGGCATTGGACTCCCACATGGCTGACCACGGTTCCACTCCTGGACCTGATGTCTTGCTTTCTCACTTTCTCTCTAACTGTCTCTCCACAGTCATATTAAATAAAATAAAGTTAAAGTAATAATTAATTAAAAAAAAAAAAGACAACATCTAACAAGATCTGTTCAGGGCTCCTTAGTCACCTCTGCCATATAACTTTTTTTTCTTCTTTGGTTTTTGTCATAAGTGTGTATACTTGCTAGAGGAGAGAGACAGAGATACAGAGAGAGGGAAAAAGAGTCAGGAGAGGTGGGGGTGGGGGGTGGCCACACCACAGTCTCTTCTCCTCTGAGGATTCTGGGCATAAAAGATCTCATGGGGAACCAGCAGTTAGCGTAATGGCTATGTCGCTGGATTCCCACGTAGTCGACCGCGGTTCGTGTCCCGGATCCGGTGGCTTAAAACTCACGCCGGGCGCGTGTGCGTGCGTGCCCAAGATCCCGAGAGGAGAATGGAGGAGAAGGGATTGCGGCGTGACCATCCCCCCTGGGGGGTGATTTCTCGCTTTCTGTCTCTATGTCTCTCTCTGTCTGGCGAGCGCACGCGCCCTACAGTGAAAATCTCTCCAAAAAAAAAAATATCTCATGGACCCCTTACAATTTTCAAGCTGGGACCAGCAGTTAGCATAATGGCTATGCCGCTGGACTCCCATGTAGCCGACCACAGTTCGAGTCCCGGACCCAGTGGCTTAAACTCACGCTGGGCACATGTGTGTGTATGCCCAAGATCCCGAGAGGAGAATAGAGGAGAAGGGATTGCGGTGTGGCCATCCCCCTGGGAGATGATTTCTCGCTTTCTGTCTCTGTCTTTCTAGCAAGCTCATACACCCTACAGCAAAAACCTCTCCCAAAATAAAAATAACAAAGCTAATCATATGGACTATGTACACCTTGACTTGATTTTTGTGTGTGCAAAAAATGTATAAAAAATTATTTTGGGGACACATTTTAAAATAAACTGCACTTTGGTCTGACTGTTTTGTCTGCCCGAGTTATATGTTGAAACCTAATTCCCAGGGCAAGCCTATAGTTAAGGTGGCTGGATCTCACATGGCTGACGACACAGTTTGAATCCCAGACCGGGCAGCTTAAAAAGCTTCAAGAACGAGGGCAGAAAGGAGCCACCTCTTAGAACAAAGGCTGGAAGCGAAAGGGAATGGAAAATACCCACAAATTTGGAAGCTTCCTACTTACACATCACGCGCGTGACACTGGGCTCATGGCGAGATTCACGGCCATTATCGCTCAAGGCACCCGCGGCAGTTTCCCCGTGTGTCCAGACCCGCCAGTCCTGCTGCTGCTTCTCTGTGCAAAGGAGAGGCAGAGACTGGGAAAGAAGGGAATTTCCACCACCTGTGGCAAACAGGCAGCAAGGGGTATTTGTAGGTGTAAGATTCCAGCACCTGCAAATCATTCCTCAGGGTGGTCCCTCAGAGTCAGCTGCTGGTCCTGAGTGACACCCTGGTGAGTTCAAACACCCGCTCCTGGTTTCGCATCAGACCAGCCCTCAAACAGACCTCTCCATGACTCAGCTTGTCCTCTTTCCAGGCCTTTCTTCACTCCCCTGAATTATTTATTTAATGTAATATTTATTTATTTATTCATTCATTCATTCAATTCATCCATTTATTTTCATTTAGCCAGAGAGAGAGGGAAAGTGAGAAAGCAAGCCATCAGGTCCAGGACTTGAACCATGGTCGGCCATGTGGGAATGTCCAGCACCTTAACCACCATGCCACTTGCTGGTCCCAATAATTTGTTATTATTTTTAATTTGCCCACAGAGAGACAGGGGTCGGGGAGGGAGTGAGAAATCAAACTGCCAGATCCAGGACTAGAGCCACAGTTGGCCATGTAGAAGTCCAGTGCCTTAACCATCACACCACCTGGCAGCCCTTTGAGGCCTTCTCTTTTTTTAAAGATTTACTTTTATTTATTTAGTATTATCATCATTTTCCAGTTTGGACAGAGAAAGAGAGAGGGAAAGTGAGAAGCCAAGCTGCAAGACCCAGGATTTGAACCACGATCAGCCATATAGGAGTCCAATGCTTTTAACCACCATGCCACCTACTGGCCCTGGCCTTCCTTAATTTCAAAATGGCTGCTGATCTGCTTGACTTGGGTTGTTGAAACAACCCACCACCCACCAGATGGCTTTAAACAGAAGTGCTAATTCCTCACAGTCCTGCAGTCTCTGAGTTGGCGACCAAGGTGTCCCCAGGTGGGTGCTCACCCTCTCTCTCCTGGCTTCCGGTAGGTGCCCCAGTCATGGCGACCCCTCTGGTAACAGCTGTACACCTCTAACTGCGGCCTTTCCCATCATCACATGGTCTTCCTCATTCCCTGTGTCTTGGCTTCACCTGGAGTGCTCCAATCTGTGTTTCTCCATGTCTCTTCTCTCTCTCT